CAATCTGTGTGCCTTCTGGTGACTAACATGAGGTCCTCCATTTGCATTCTATTTTCTCCTAATAGCTTACTCAATTTCCAAAGACCTTCCTTGTAGCAGGACAGGCCCATAGGGTTGAGGAAATTGGCTCAGACCAGTAGCCAAGGCATGCACGTAGCGTACTCCCTAAGAGCCAACCTGGAGTCTGCCCAGCAGCAGGAGTGGTCAGAGTTCCTGATCATACAGAGTCTGCCTGAGGGCCTAGTAACAGGAGCTGTCATAGTTCCTAGTCAATGTCCGAGTTCCTGATCATGCCCAGCCAATGAGGGATGACCACATAGACTGGGCACTGGGAGGAGGGTATATAAAGCCTTCTTTGTTATTGAATAAATGAGTTCGTTATTTGCTTTCAATGGACTCCCAGTGTCTGAGTTGTTGATGCCACGCCTTCTCGCCCTCTCCCCCCACCCCAGGGAGCCGTTAGAATCCAAGTAACACTTCCTTTGCTTTTACTACCTATTTGATGTGGTTCAAGGAGGGGGTGTGTCCTTTAAAGACTCACTCAGCTCCCTTCAAGGTCATGTAGACAGTTTTACTCACTGAAATAGAAAAGAAAATTTCATCTTTCACTCAGTGAAGCTTCCAGAGAAGTTGTGATTTAAGTAAAGTGACAAACTGAGATGTCACAGGCTGTTCCCTTCCTTTACCATCTACAATGGGAACACGGTAGTAGAAGGTTCTTAGTCACTCTGTGACGACTTGCTAAAGATGGCAGAATAGGGAGATGTGAGGAATCTGCTGCTTGAGCAGCCTTGTTGGGGCTGGTTGGCCTCAACTCAGTTTCCTGATAGAAACTAACATCTCATTTAATCCACAGTTTGGCTTCCCAAGCACACAGCTGAGCACACCGTGACAGCCCTGAGACCCACTTTGGGTAGACAACTTGCGCTGGAACATTTGTTCATCTGTGATTAATGGGGATCTGTTCTAGAGAATCTGTTCTAGATACCTGGAGAAGGTATGGAATTGGAGGGAATGAAGTAGAACCCCTTACCAATTCCTTATTACTAAGACACTGGAAAACACTCCCTTTCCATCCTAGAAATTCCCTTGAACGTAAAAATAAAAATCCTGTTCCAGTCTGAGCTTCTCCCAAGGCTGGGGTGGCGAATGTGGTTGGCAGATAAGTCCCTCTATGTCTTCCCAAGCTTCCCTGCACCGAGGCTGGGGTGGCGAATGTGGTTACAGGTAGGTCTCTCTAAGTCGTCCCAAGCTTTCTTACCACCAAGTTAATTCAAATGCTGGCTCTGTATTTTTCTTTATGCTAAGGTGAGTAGCTCTGCATCTGACATGCCAAATTAACAAAGTTTCAGGGCTTCTGAGTGAAAGTAAACAAGGCTTACACAAACCAAACAGTTTACAAGAATTCCAGACAGAAACTAAAAGGATGAATCCTGGTGTTTTTAAGTGATCAAAGGTTCTTTTAGTGTTAGTTATTAACTACTAAATTGAATGTAACAGCCTCATGTGTTCTAATAGTGGGAAATATAAAATGCAAACTAAGCACATGTAAATGTCTAGAGTCACCAGCAGATGCGAACATGGGAGAGGCTCCTCCAGAGTGAGGGTACCAGATGGTAGCCAAGACCCTTGCAGGCTCAAACGTCACTGATCCCACGTGATTTTCTGTTCCTAAGAATAGGTCTCCAACCACAGTCTTCATGAAATGCTTTTCCATGGAAAGCGATGGTTCATGCAGAGTTGGTCGGGAAATTGATTCACGCCTGGGGTCTTTGAGACCGTCAGTCCAGGAAAGACGGGTCTCCAGCACAAGCGCTCGGTGGCGCAGGCAGACAGTTCCGTTGGACTATGCTACACCTCCCCCTGGTGGCCAATTGTTTTATTGCGGATTTTTCCACAGGGAAATTGAACCAGAGTGTCTTAACGTAGAGCAACTTTGGAATCAGTGTTTGCCTTGTCTGGTGATTCGTTCCTCTTTTTATGTTACATAAAGTTGATCGTAACCACGGATTTCTTTCCTCCTCTAAAAAAAAAAATCTTTACTGTTTTGTGTCTTTGAAATAAGGTGTTACCTTATAGTTCTGCCTGGCCTGAATCCCAGAACCCTGCAGTCCGGGCCTCCCAAGAGATGAGGTTACAGGCACACATCAGGCTCCCAAATTCCTTTCAGTGTTGTTTGACTTCTTTGCCTCTTGCCAATTCCTGCCTTTGAAAGGGGGACGGGGGAGGTAGCAATGGCTCCTTAACTCCATTCCATGTAAAAGAGAAAGTTGGTGGCGCTCCCGGGTCAAAGCACATTTTTGTGTTGATTTTAAAATGACTTTTTAACGTGCATGAGAGTCCTCAGAAAGTTGTAGAGTTTGGCTCACATTTAAGTAACACTTATAAACTGTCTCACTGGGACAGGAAACAGTCCCTGAGCTCAGTTAGAAAGGCAATGAACCCTACATACACTGTTAGAAGAACTCTTTCATTTCCTCATCAAACATTCATTAAGCACCTGAAGTTAGCGCATACAAAGGTTTTAAAGAATATTCAGTGGGGAGCAGAGAAGCATAAATAAATGAAACAGCGGGTGAGCATTTGTAAACTTTTATTCTCTTGACATTAACAATAACACAGACTACCTTAACCCATGCCATTTGTGAAGACACACTGTGCAAAGAGCTGAAAGGCTTGCTGACATATGCATATCATATAGAGGAAAAAGAAATTCATGACTATTAATTATGGAATAATTAAACAGTTTTTAATGACATCTTGAAAGTCTATTTTATGTTACCAAGCATTTGTTTTTAGTTTCCAGTGCTGAGATCTATCCAGGGTCCTCCACATGCTAGGCAAGTGTTCTCCTCATCCACATCCCTCTTCCTCTCACGATGTCTTACAGATGGTACCTCCTTGTATGGTACTGACTTGGAAGTAATGACACAAAAAAGATTGCTATGTCTCTGCCCCTTGCCCCTCTTCCCCCAAAAGAGGCAGAAAAAAGGGTTACAGTGTCAAGAGCAATATCTAAACACATACTGGATGTTCAGAATGTCTCATGCATCCATTTAGAGAAGAGCAGGACTCAGGGCTAAGGTGCTGCTCTAGGCGCCAGGCTCCTGAGCGAGGGGGACAGAGGAAAGCTGTTGAGCGCAGCGTGTCTTGGGTAGCTGAAGCAGATCCTTGCTAGCGGGAGCTGGAGGGAAGCATCGTTGTGGCAGGGGAGCTGTGGTGAACAGTGAGGAGGGGCTGGGCTGCTTCTGTAACGAGGTATGACTTCTGTCTCAGGGCAACGGATGGAAACAGTGACTGGTCTCTGGATGGGGCTGCTTCTGTTGTTCCAGCAAAATCCACAGGCCTGACCTGCAGGCCACACACC